AAAAAAAAAAAAAAAAGGAAGAAAAGAAACCACGATTAACTTTGTCAAATACTACAGATAATCAAGTGAGATGAGATGTAAGAATTGACCGCTGGATTTTTTCGGCACTGGGCAGGACAAAGTCTGAGAAGTGTAGATTCTAGAGGGAAAATAAGAGTAATTGGAGATGGTGAAAATAAAGATGTATTCTGAGGAATTTTTCTATTAAAAGGAGGCAGAGAAAGAACAAGTCAGGAGTTAATGGGAAAAGCCGAAAGAGGTTGGCTGATTGACTTCTCAGTACAAGAGATTTGACAGCCAAAGAGGATAAGCGCAAGGGAACTCTCACCATTCATTTTCAGATACTCCTCACCCACCTGACCATGGAAGGCTGGCATTCTTGGGCCTTGGCCCTAGGCCCTTTTGTCTTCTCCCTTTATACTTTTCCCCTGAGTTGGTGTATTTACTCCCATGACTTGTACCAATGATTCTTAAACTCAGGTCTCCAGCAAGGAGCTCTTCCCTAAATTCTGGCTCTGTCGGTCCAACTGCCTGCTCAGCACCTCATTCGTGTGTCTTTCACAAAGGCAGACTGTATCCGCAGTCATCCCCAAATCTGCTCCTCCTCCAGGGCTGCATTTCAGAAAACGAGGCCAACCTCCACCCAGCTGCACAGAGTCCAAAGCCTTCTTCCTTCTCACCCATCACAAAATCTCCAGAACTATAATCAACCTCCTCTCTATCTCCTCTCCAACCCCACTCCTCCCATGCCCCACCCAGGAGCCAGGCTGAACCACCTCTGACCTGAACACCCGCCATCAGGCCAGGAAAGCAAATCTAATGGTGTCACTTCACTGCTTCACTGCATGTAACCCTTCAACAGTTCCCCAAAGTCCAAAATATTTTACAAGACACAGGGGTATGGTTCCCACCCCTACCTCTGTCATGCTTAACAACAATTTAAAATAATTTCATATGCGACGCTTAAATAGTACTCTGTGTCTATTTGGTTACTGAAATACGAAGAGAAAAAGACAAGGATTTGGGCTCTGAAGATTGAGGTCCCAATGCAAGTTCAGAGCCTCCCTATGAAAATAAACTACCGAAAGATACTTTATCCACTAAACATTTCAAGTGTGAACTAATGGCAGTTGTTCCCCATCCTTACATTTACTGATCAACTTAATTTTCTTCTTGTGAGAATTGAAGATGTGAATGTGAAAACATTTTTTCTCTCTATAGCTAGCACATAGGTGAATACTCAATATGACTGAGGAGGCCATAGATTATTTCTCAAAAAGCATTTCAGTCCCCAGGTCACACTTTATTCCTCTGGATAGATAGAATTTGATCCTAAATCTCATCAGGACTGATTTCTAAAACATCTCCTAGACTTGAGGGAATAACTTCTGCAAGTAGATACATCTTTGGATCCCTCTGACTGTGTACTTGTGTGAACAATAATAGTCATATACATATAACTAGGGGGGGAATGTTTTGTTTTTCTTCTTTTAGATGGCTTGGTTGGGTGAAATACCTGCATTGCCTGTTTTTGGTGATGGAACAAATATTATTCCAGGAATTCATGTTCTTGACCTAGCAGGGTAAGTGTTTTCCCAAAGATATAATTTGCTTAGGATTGATTGATGGGCTTGTAGGTTAACGTTTATTGAGCACTTACTAAGTGCTCAGACCCTCACATGTTATTGTGTTTATTCTTCACAACAGCCCTACACAGAAGGTACTATCATCTCCATTTTGCATCTAATGAAATAGTACCTACCATCTAAAAACTCTACACTTCTTTATTTTTTATTTTTTATTTTTTTGAGACAGAGTCTCACTCCATCACCCTGGGTAGAGTGCCATGGTGTCATCATAGCAATCTGAGTCTCTTGTGCTCAAGCAGTCCTCTTACCTCAGACTCCCTAGTAGCTGGGACTACAGGCACCTGTCACAAAGCCTGGCTAGTTTTTCTATTTTTAGTAGAGACAGGGTCTCACTCTTGCTGATCTCCAACTCTTGAGTTCAAGGGATCCTCCTGCCTTAACCTCCCAGAGTACTACGATTACACCTCACCTAGGCAAAACTCTCCACTTCTGATAAGTCCAGGTTCATCTCTTAGAAAGTTTATCTGTAGAATAGCAATGCCCTCCAATTTTGAAAAAGAAAGAAACTGGTATGTACATTCTGAGGACATAGTTTGTTATTCCTTTGTCCCAGATAAGATTGATATGTCCAGCCCAAAGACTTAAACTCCAGAAACCAGAAGGTAAATGCAAAACCTGAAGCTTTCTAAATTTTTTTTTGACAATTATAGATAATATTGATACCTTTTTTTTTTTGAGACAGAGTCTCACTATGTCACCCTCAGTAGACTGCTGTGACATCACAGTTCACAGCAACCTCTAACTCCTGGGCTTAAGCGATTCTCTTGCCTCAGCCTCCCAAGTAGCTGGGATTATAGGCGCCTGCCACAACACCCTGCTATTTTTTGGTTGTAGTTGTCATTGTTGTTTGGCAGGCCCAGGCTAGATCCGAACCTGCCAGCTCTGGTGTATGTGGCTGGCGCTGTAGCCACTTGAGCTACAGGCGCCGAGCCAACACATTTTTTTTATACACACAGAGCATCTAAATCCCTTATCCAGACAGGTCCAGACACTTCTCTCCTCTGATGTTCCTGAGCCAGGTCATTAGATCAATTAGGTCAGTGACCTGGTTCACTGTGTTTATGGTTCATCAGTGTTACCAGACTGAACTGGGGTCACTCACCACTGACTACGTCAGAGGAGAAATTTATTGTGTGGCTCCAAGAAAGAACAAGCAGCAGAAGCTTAAAACTTGGTCTCCCCACTAGCTTATAGGAAGGATTTTTAAAAGCAGGGGCACATTTTGGGAAAGCAGAAGTTGCAGACAAAATCATAAACCGCTACATGAAGGTTTGACATTGGTTTTGGCCATTGGTGTGGCTCTCTCCAAGACCTTCAGGAAGATATTTAGAACAAAGGACAGTCAGAGTTCAGTCCTTGGTTCTTCCTTATCTGAGGTCTATGTGATACTATTTTTCTGGTGAGGGTTTCTTTTCTTTTTCTTTTTTTGAGACCCAGTCTCACTCTGTTGCCCCAGGCTAGAGTGCCAGAGTCTCAGCCTAGCTCACAGCAACCTTGAACTCCAGGGGTCCAGCAATCTTCCTGCCTCAGCCTCTTGAGTAGGCTAGGACTACAGGCACCAACCACAAAGCCTGGGTACTTTTTCTATTTTTAGTAGACATGGGGGGTCTCACTCTTGTTCAGGCTCATCTCTAACTCCTGAGCTGAAGGGGTCCACCCGCCTCAGCTTCCCAGAGTGCTAGGATTATAGGGACCCAAAACACCTGTGACTCTGACTTGCTTAGTAGATTCTTTTTACTATCTTCTTGCTTATCAAGTTGTTTGTTTACCTTTCAAGGCTAGTTCGGTGCCTGGAATTTCCCTGGAAGGGACTGAGATTTTTCCTTGAATTTCATGTTTGGTGGGGGTGGAGGTTGCTCTCAGCGGGTCCCTAAGAGAGGTTCCCTCTCCATCTCATTTTGTCTACATTATTGGGTTCCAGAGACTTCATTCTATCATCCCCATGGTTCATCCCCCAGAAGAGAGCAGCTTCTGCATTTCCCTGAGGTTTTGGTTTCCAGATTCCTACTCTTTCTCTCATCCACTGTCCACTGATCAATTAGTCCAATATCAGCTGAATATACAGGTTTACTGGGAAATGAATGAAGCTTACACTCCAGAGCCACTGTGTGGGACCTTTCTAAGACCCTGGGCCCACTTTTTATCATTTTCTTAAAGTATATAATTTTTTTTCTTTTTTAGAGACAAGAGTCTCACTTTGTTGCTCTTGGTAGAGTGCCGTGGCGTCACAGCTCACAGCAACCTCCAACTCCTAGGCTCAGGCAATTCTTTTGCCTCAGCCTCCCAAGTAGCTGGGACTACAGGTACCTACCACAACACCTGGTTATTCTTTTGTTGCAATTTGGCCGGACCGGGTTCAAACCCTCCACCCTTGGTATATGGGGCCGGCGCCCTAGCCACTGAGCCATAGGTGCCACCCAAAGTCTGTAATTTTTACTGTTTTCTTGGGCAGTGCCTATGGCTCAAGGAGTCAAAGAGTAAGGTGCTTGCATCATATACCAGAGGTGGCAGGTTCAAACCCGACCCTGGCCAAAAAAATGAAAAAAAAAATGTTTTTTATTACTTTCTTAAAGTATGTAATTTTCTTCCAAATTGTATATAAACTTTGGATGCTACAAAACCTGTAATAAGGGGTGGCAATCATACCCCAGTGGGTACTGTGCCAGCCATATACACCAAGGCTAGCAAGTTTGAACCCAGCCTAGGCCAGCTAAAATCAACAATGACAGCTGCAATGGAAAAATAAAGAAAATAGCTGGGTGTTGTGGTGGGCACCTGTAGTCCAGCTACTTGGCAGGGTGAGGCAAGAGAATCACTTAAGCCCAGGAATTTGAATTGACTGTGAGCTGTGATGCCATGGCACTCGACCAAGGGCAACAGCTTGAGACTCTGTCTCAAAAACAAACAAACAAAAAAAAACCTATAATAGATCTGCTCAAGCCAACATTAACCCTGGGGCATGAAGGAAACAAAATGTACCCTTGTTTTTTGGAAAGAGTTTGCATTATTACATTTCCAGGTTTCAGAAATGTAAAAATATCTTTTACATTATTAAAATGACCTACTGAGCCTTAGTCCTTAATATCTTACTTCCATACAGATACATTAGAGGGTGAAATTATTCCTGTTACAGAAAGACTCAGGGCCTATAAAACAAAAATTAAAGGAGGCTGTTGTTTTGGACTAAGCTCCTGTACCAGGCTTCAAGAGCCAAAATGGAGTCATCCCTGCTAAGGTTCTAGTCACTAAACAGAAATTTAGTTGTCATCTGACCTTTTGAGAACTCAGGAGAGAGAGCTAGCCAGTTTCCCACACAGGCCAGTTTCCGTCCTCCCTAGACATAATAATGACGTTCCCTATGTTTTAATCCTCACACCAAAAAGTAAACTGAAGATGTGAACCAGTTATTTTCTATTGTTCCCCTTGTCGTTGATTTATAAGGAAAGTAACTTTGGTGGGAAACTGAGGCAAGGGACTCATTTGAGCCTAAGAGTTTGAGGTTGCTGTGAGCTATGATGCCACAGCACTCTACCCAGGGCAACAGAGTGAGACTGCATTAAAAAAAAAAAAATCTTTGAAATGACCAATCTGCTTTTTGTTTTTTGTTTTTGCTTTCTTCAGCCCTTTCTCTCTATAAAACTAATCCCCTCTGTTCAACTCATTGGAACATTTATTCTATTTTATGGAATGAAGAGTTGTAGTTCTAGAATTGAAAATAAAGCCAATTAAGATCTTTGAATTTGGCTCGACGCCTATGGCTCAACCGGCGAAGGCGCCAGCCACGTACACCTAAGGTGGCGGGTTCGAATCCCCAGCCCGGACCCGCCAAACAACAATGACG